ATTTAACAATATCACGTTTTTTTTTTAAATTTGATTAAATGGTTTTTCTAAGTACGTTAGTAATTTAACTATACTAATTTTATATTATATAAATATAAAATATATATTGTCAATGTAAACACACACACACAGATATATATATATATGTATATATATATATATATATATATATATATATATATATATATATATATATATATATATATATATATATATATATATATATATAATTTGATATTATGTGTTGGTAAATAAATTTAAATTTGTTTTTATTTAATCCTTAAGTTTAATTCTTAAATAAAGCTTGTTATGATCTCTAAAAAAAGAGTTACCAAAAAATATCTTAATTTATATCAAATTATTTTTAAAAATAATTGTTATAAATTTTGTTATTATAAAGAAAATAGTACTTTTAAAGGCTTTTTAAAGTGTATTTATGGTAAAACAAGGGCCCTGTGAATCGGCAGTTTTTGTTTCGAATTGAATCGCGAATCAAAGCAGGTCTTGATTCGCAATTCAAATTACATTTCAAATCAACAATTTGAAGTCTAAATTTAAGCATTTTTTATTTAATAATATATATTTTACAATAAAATGCATAAAACAATTGTATAATCTCTTTATTGATGGTTTTTCTCCTGGTTAACCTTTTTAATGACTGATTAAAAAGTTATTTAAGGATAAAAAAAACGTTATTTTGATAGCGCCAAAGCCCAGAATGTCTAAAATACCCACAACAAAAGCAAAATAAGCAAGTATTCCATTTTTGAAAATTTTTGAATCGTAACTTGAATCATATTTTTGATTTGATTCGAAATTTTGAAACTTCGCAGGCCCATAGGTAAAACATTGAAACACTTTAATTTTAATATAGTTTTCACTAGGCCGCTACATAATGTATAAGTTAGAGTTATAACTCTCTGTTTGTTAATTTACACTAACAAATATTTTATGTATGAGAATAAAAAAAGTTGTTTTTAAAAATTAACTTTTCCAGTTTATAAAGTATAGTAGGCCAAGCAAAATGTGCATTCGAGCTGTTTGGTTAAAAAATAGAGAGAAATAGAGAGAGAAAATACGATTGATAATTTTTTGTGTTAGCCATCATCATTAAATGTAATAAATTGTTTCAATGAAATGCATGAACCGCAGTCTAACTAATACAGATTTAAGCTGCTCATAATTAAATGTTGTGAAGAAAGAATAATTTTGTTTACAAACATCAAGTCATTATTTTTTTCCTTTCTTCTTTAAAATGCTCTTTTTCTGTATATGTTATTTCTAGTGTTTAAGATATATTATTTATTATATAATATATTTAAAACATAGTTTTAAATTGAATGATTATTCTTAGATCATGAGTTATGTGATAATTTTGAATTTTGATACTCAGATAGAACTATTTAAAAAAATTTAAACTTAAGTTAAAAAATTTATTCAAGTATTACTAGTTTTATTTTGATGTTATCTATTATAGGAGCCGCTACAATTTTTATGCAAGAAAAAACATAATCCAACCAAAAATAACCAACAGAATAGTAAGTAAGTTCCTACTCCTTTAACGCAAAAAAAGAAAAAGGAAACAACTTTAATGCATACTCCACACACTGTAGCTCAAGGTATTGATTGTCTGTCTGCAAGTTATTTTAGGAAGAAAAGATTCTAAATGTTTTTTTCAATGCTTCAGTAGTTTACACATTTTATTTATTGTTAAATAATATATTTTAATTATTTTATAAGTATTTTAAAACTATTTTTTTAATGGTGACTTTTATTTGTTTGGTTTGACATTTTATTTCATTGTTATGACATTTATTTTCATGTTAGCATTTAGTAAAAGCTATTTTATTTCTAGTACTCTAGTATTGATTATTTTTTTACATTGATTGATTTACTTTTTGATCTTAAAGATATTTAGATCAGAAATGGCAAGATTTTCCTGTGGAAATAGAGGATTTTAATAAAGTGCGAAGCCAAGATGGCGCATATGTTTTTTCGCAGAAATGAAAAAAGTTGTTTTGCCAGACAAATCTGCATTAATTTCCCTTATAAAAAAAGCTACTAATAAAGATACCTCATTGAATGGAAAGTCTCCCATTACTAAGGAAGGTATGTAAAGTATTTGGTATTTATTTTGGTACGAAGTCATTTTAATAATTAGTAAAAAAAAATAAATAACTATCTTTAAGACATTAGAAAAAATATATTTTTTGAAAATCCAATAATTTTGTTTATTTAATAAATAGATATTTTGATACAGTATGTTTTATTTTTGTGTTTCAATGCTTTTAGAAACTAATTAATGTTTGGTTCTTTTGTGTTCCTGTAATATCTTTTTTATTTTAGAATATAGAATAGAATTTCTGAAGAAAGTTATATATGCACTGGTAGAAATTAAAGAGATGTTAGTAAAGCTCTTTCAAGTAATTAAAATATTATCATGACAAATAGTCCTGAAATTTGATGGATGAATTTGCAGCAGTCATTTAGTGATTATGATAACAGTTTAAATGATTTTCGGGTGAGATCTGAAGGTAGGTAATTTCAAACCATAACTTTTTGCAGCTTTTTTATTGTTTTTTTGGGATTATGTATTTGCTTAAGTTAATCTACTTGTAACTTATTATAAATGTACTATAAAAGTAATGTAATTATTTTCTTAACCTTTTAGGGATTATGATAACAGTTTAAACGGGTGATGTCTGAAATGATAGGTTTTTTTAAACCATTACTTTATGCATTTTTAAACCATTACTTTTTGCACTTTTTTTAAAATGTTTTTTTATCAATTATGTATTTGCTTAAGTTAATCTACTTGTAACTTTTTGTAAACGCACTATAAATATAATGTGATGTAATTATTTTCTTAAACTTTTAGGTTACCAAATTTTCTAAAATAAGAGGTAAGACAATTACAAAAAAAATGATGCAAAGGTTAGAAAAAGTTGAATAAAAAATCTTTTGAATCTAGTTATTATAGTTTGTTATAAAAATATGTTTAGCTTAATATTTCTAAAAGTTTTACTAATTCTAATCAGACATAAAATAATTTTTTTATTTATTTATGTTCAATTAAAGTTTTTTTTTTTTGATTTTTTTTTGACTTTTTTTTGTATTTCCTTGAGTTAAAGAATAACCTCAAAATACAAAAGTTGTTTTGTAACGCATATATAACCTTTTTTACGCTCTATATATACATACATATATATGTTCATAAATAAACATACATGTATATGTATGTATATATACATAAATTTATATACATACACATGCGTATATGAATATATATATATATATATATATATATATATATATATATATATATATATATATATATATATATATATATATATATATATATATATATATATGTATATATATATATATATATATATATATATATATATATGTATATATATATATATATATATATATATATATATATATATATATATATATATATATATATATATATATGTATATATTATATATATATATATATATATATATATATATATATATATATATATATATATATGCTTTGATGCTGTTTGATGCTGTTTTATATTTATATTTTCATGTATTTTATGCAAATTGCTCAGACAATATCTTTTTTTATAGAGAGCGTCATGTCAACTAAACCCAGCGGGCACGGAAACGTCCATATGACGTCGAAAGGACGTCTTTTTAGGACGTCCGGAACTGGTTCCAAGTGGCAACGCCAGATGACGTCTTTTTCAGACGTAATTAGGACGTCTCTTTAGGACGGAATAAAGACGTGTTTTTAGACGTCTAAAATACGTGAACTTAGGACGTTCAGAACTACACCTTTTCAAGATGTAATTGAGAAAACAAAAATTGTAATTAAGAATCGTAAGATGTAATTGAGAAAACAAAAGTTGTAATTAAGAAACGTAAGATGTAATTGAGAAAACGTAAGTTGTAATTAAGAAACATAAGATGTAATTTAGAAAACGAAAATTGTAATTAAGAATCGTAACATGTAATTGAGAAAATGTAAGTTGTAATTAAGAAATAGAAAAATGTAATTGAGAACACGAAAATTTTAATTTAGATATCGCTTTAAAGGAGTAAGTGTAAAATGGCGCTTAAAAAAAATGGCGCGTAAAAAAATGGAGCGTATAAAATGACGCACTTAAAAATGACGCAAGATTTGTAGCGTAAATTTAATTTTTTAGGAAAAAATTTATAATTTTTGGGCAAATGAATTTAACATAATAAACACTAAAAACATTTTAGGGAAAAATTTATAATTTTTGGGCAAATGAATTTAACGTAATAAACACTAAAAACAATAAATATGCGGTATGTAATCCGAGGGCCATGGCGGGATTTGTCCGGGGAAGGATGACCACGCGCTGTGACTGTGAATTTGCTATTTTAGACTGTGAATTTGCTATTTTAATTTATGTGTTCTCAATTACAAGTTACGATTTCTCAATTACATATTATGATTTCTCAATTATATCTTACGTTTTCTCAATTACATGTTGTGTTTCTTAATTACATGTTACGACTTCTTATTTACATGTTGTGTTTCTCAATTACATATAACGTTTTCTCAATTACATGTTGTGTTTCTTAATTACATATTACGACTTCTTAATTACAACTTTCATGTTCTCATTTACATCTTGAAAAGGTGTAGTGCTAAATAGAAACGCCAAATGACGTCTTTAAATAAACTAATTTAGACGTTCTCATTTCGACGTCTAAAATACGTGTTTTTACATGACTTTACATAAACGTTAGGTTCAAATATATATTTTCACAGAACTTCTTGAGAATAAGAAAAAAATAATAAATCGTTTAAATTTTTTTAATAATATAATTGTGATGAGTTTTATAAATTACAATTTTATAAACTTCTTCTTCCACTTGTTAATTTCCAAGAATCGAATGTTCGAACAGTTGACGTCATTTACCTTCTTTTCGATCAGGTTCACTCTTTAAAATATTATCACCAGCATTTTAAAGTT